ATTTACTTTCATGTTTTATCAGGGTTTTCCATACTGCATCTTCCTGCATGCTGAGGCAACTTTCTCTGGAGCTTTTGTTTCCACATGACCCACATCCACTAGTTGGGGTGATGGCTTTTCCCAGTTGTGTTGTATATTTTCAATTAGCAGATTTCCCCTTTAAACTTGTTATAGTGGTTTGGACCTCAGCTCATCACCCAGTAGCCATCTGAAACTTGCTCTCGAAGGCAATTATAAAGAAGTTTGCAACATCTTTTGCATAAAGTCAGCTGGTCTAATTGCATCAGTGTTGCCATGAGGAACACTGCTTGCCTTCTGCTTCTGGACAGCCATTGCTTTTTCACAGCACTATAGCTAGGTTCACACTTGAGGGGATGGATATGAGTGCAGAAATCGCAGCAGCTCCCGCAACCACCCGCACTGCTCTGTAGAGAGGGGCAGGGCTGCCATTTATTCTTAACGGCACCCCCACACATCTCAACCCATAGAAAGCTTATGGGTGTGGGAACTACATGGTGCAAACACGCTCAAGTGTGAACCTAGCCTGAAAGATAGCTTGGCATGCACTGTAGCAGGTGTTGCTGCTGTCAAATATTGTTTACTCCAACTCATGGCAGAATTCCAAGATGGCTGTATCTGTATGCATATGCCATACCTGGCCAAGCACTGTGGAAACAGAATCACTGTGGTAGCCTTGCTACTAAAATGACCACAGCTAACTTCTGTGCTGTGTTCCAGGAAGCTGCCCTACTGCTTAGTGAACACGGGTCACTCAGGTTGGGCACCATAGACAGGACACTTTGAATGTTTTCAATGAATACAAAGCACTCTATAATTAGATGAGGTGGAGAGGCAGGGAGGTGACATCACAATCTTCCCTATTTGCTCAGGCAGATAAAGGAAGGCCTATAATATTACCAAAAAAATATATATACGTGCGTGATCTAAAATACTTTCAGGATGAATGGAATACATTTTCAGACATAGACGCTTACAGAATTTTCACAGGAAAATCCCTTCAACCTGCCCTCTGCTGGAGCATTTCTATCCTGCCAACATACTGACATGCGTTTTTTAATTACTTCCAGGAGAAAGCCAGCAGCTTGCAGAAAAAAGGTTCATGGCTCACAGCTAACTATTAAGGCCCCAAGTTTGTTTACATTCTGGTACTTCCATCACCATAGTAGTTATGACAGTAGCAGTAAAAGGGTTCAACACTCCCTGGATGTCAGGCTGAGTTCTGGCCCAGATCACAAGTTCTGACTACACTGGCTTTCTGCTTTTTTCAGATCCATGACTGAAGGTTTTAAAGCCAGTGACAGCCAGGTAGCTATGATTTCCAGAAGTTCAGCAACGACAGCTCATATATTTCACTTCTAAAAAGTTTTCAGTCAATGACAGATGTTAAAATGGCTTGTGAAAACATGCAAATATCTACTTTTATTATACAAAAGATACAAATCTAAAAAGAACACAACACTGGATGAAGTGTAAAATATTTATTCAGGAAAAACAAAATCAGCTTCCTTGGACAGTGACCAGTAAGGGCAAAAAGGCACTTGGGTATTTTTAAAGCATGATCCAATTAATTTTCGTTTGTGTACAAACAGGCATAACCATAACCAAACCAGCAATAACTTAACGTGTAATTGAGGATGAGACTGCATAAAACTGTCCAGAACCTACAGTTTTCACACCAACCATACTGTCAGCAAAATAGCAAAAACAGCTTTGTACAAAGCATATATGGTTGTATGTCAAGATCTCCAGAGATGTTCATTTACCCATTATACAACCTATACAGACAGGATAGCCAGTCAGGGTATGGTTAGATGGACCTAAAACGAATTAAAAAGTTCTTCACTAAACTACTGCGAAGTACAGGAAAAAAAATTATCTAGAACAGAAGGTATGTCAATTTCACTTCAGTTTATGGGAAAGGCAAAAAAGCATTATAAAGGTTGAACTCTCTCATTTCACCCCCAAGCTATAGTTTTTAATAAATGGAACAATGATGCCCAATTAGCCAGCTACAACTGCAATTTGAAACAAATGATACTGCAATATTAGGCTGTGTCTGTGGCAGGGGCGGACTGACAACTCATGGGCCCCCCGGGCAATAGGAGATCATGGGACCCGTGTCCTTGCCCAAACTCAAAAAAGCCTATGAAAAAGGTACCAGGGGCATCTCATGGGGCCCCCTACTGACCCCGGGCCCTTGGGCAGTGCCCAAGTTTCCAAATGGTCAGTCCGCCCCTGGTCTGTGGTATATGCACCACCAATACCAAAAGCACAGTTGGCCATCAGGGCATACCTGTAGATACCTTTTCTATAATGCTTAAAATCGAAATATAATCCTAACAGGATTTCTTTAACACGAATTAACATGAGAAAGCAAATCATTAGAGGGAAAAAAAATGCAACAACATGCTTTTAGTAAATAATTTCCAATTATTAACAGCAGAGTGTATACTCACTTGTGACAGCACCTTGTCACACTGATGGAAATTTACTAAACCTGGAGGATGCAAAATCTGGTTCAGTTCTGCAGTAGATCTACTAAAACTGGAGCACTCAGAATCTGGTGCAGCTGTGCATGGTAGCCAATTAGCTTCTAAATTTAGCTTTTTCAATTAGGCTTTGGCAATAAAACCTGGAAGCTGATTGGTTTCTGTGCAGAACTGAACTAGATTTGGCACCATCCAGTTTTAGTACATAACCCCCACTGCTTTTCGACATCACAGGAGCCTATCAGGACATTAAGGTTACTTTCACACTGATCCGCTGCAAAAACTCATAAGCGTTTTTTAAAGAACACGTGACTTAAAAACTGCATGAAAAATGCTTCTCAGAGGAGTTTTTGAGGCGCGTTCCATTGATTTCAATGGGAAGAGGCATTTTTATGGTGTTTTTTTTCTTTAACTCTTTAAATATGCCCCAAAGATGCTGCAAGTAGGAGTATTTACACCGCACCACAACGCCTCAGTATGAAAACATACATATATATAAATTCACATACATAGGGAAGCATCTTTCTTGAGCTTTTCGTAACGCACAAACGCTTCAAAAACTCCTCAGTGTGAAAGTAGCCTAATAGGCAAGAGTGGATGTGAATAACTGGCCAGACTGATGGGGGGTCATTTGCTAAAACTGCAAAGTCTGGTGCAGCTCTGCATAGTAATCAATCAGCTTCCAGGTTTTATAGTCAAAGCTTAATTGGACAAGGTGAAGTTAGAAGCGAATTGGCTACCATGCGCAGCTTCACCAGATTCTGAGTGCACCAGTTTTAGTAAATCTACCCCATGGGGTCATCAGAGGACAAGGTCTAGGAACAGTGAAAGTTGTGCAATGGACAAAAAAATTGGTCAAAAGCAATTGCACAATGCTTACTGTGCTATATCATTCACAGTTGACTTGTCTCACACTGTGTAAAGATTAAAGGCGAAGTTCAACTTTTGGAACATGTTACATTCATATTTAGGGTGCAACATGTATTATGTTTCCAAGCACACCCTGCCCCTGGTAAAGCATGCAGGGAGCACAGGGGATCTGCCCACAGAGCTGTGTCATTTTTTCAGAGATCTGGGAATGAACAAACTACATGTCCCTTCTGTCATCGCTGCTTACCACATTTGTAGTCCACTGATACTGCCTTCAGCATTCTAACTTAAAGCCCGCACAGAAGTATGAGCAGAAAATTGGAGGAAGTGTCTGCAAGAGTCTGACATTGCACACAGGATCCACTGATCACTGGTGCAATGCTTTTCAGGCTCCTCTATTAAAAAAAAAAAAAAAGCACATTTTTTTTCTTGTGAAAACATGTCCATTTATTATTTTTTAAACGGTGAACCTAGCCTTTCAGTTTCCTCTGTCTAGGTCTGCACTAAGAAGGCTCTTCAATACAACCAATGCATAAGTACATATCTTTGTGTATTAGAACATTCAAATGTAAAATACAACATTGGGCTTGTCCGCACCATCTCAGCAAAGATAAAAGGAAAACCTGCTATTTAACTTTCACCAAAATAGAGAATCTGTGATGCTATTATCACAGACAATCCATGTACTGTATGGCTGGTTAGAAACTGGTAGCAGTGGGTTATTTCACCTCCAAAATCTATGTAAGTGGTCTCTGATTTATAGGTCCTCAAGTATCAAACCGATCAGGTTCCAGCATTCACTTGAAGTTTAAGAGAAGTGTCTGTTTAATTGCTGTGGGCGACTCACTTTACTTTCAGAGTTCTAAGACCAAATTATATATTTTTTGCAGGACCTGTTTTAAAGTGATCCTTCTCTGATCTTCTGCAGAACTTCAGGGACTTTATGATGTATGCAGGTACCTGTGCTCTTTTTCACATCTCTCCCTGTATAAAGCCCTTTGGATCCCAGGATCTGGATGTAGGGTCTCAACTTCTGCTCAAGTTGAAGTAAACCTTGCCCACTGTCAGTCAGCTGTCAAATACTAGAGCTTTAATAAGCAGTAGCAGTGTCTCACAGCCCATGGTTGGGCTGTTAAGTTGGTAGAAATCTGGAGGCGGGGGAGGGGGGTGTTATATTGACTTTGGGAGTAGTCAATGCCTACATACATGATTTTGTTTTCCCCCATAACTGATATTAGGATTTTTTCACGTTGTTTCCCTGGCTGATCAGGAATCATGAAGGGAAAGTACTGACTCCATAAAGTCAAAACCTGTTACTTGCCTAATAGGAGAGAACTACACGTTCATTTTAGAAATGTCCCAGGCTGGTTTGAATATGGATTTAAAATGGATGGAAATATGTTGCAAGCTGAATGACACATTTGTTGCAAATGTCTAAAAATGTCTTGCATGCCTTGGCAAAAAACTGCAGAGGATTTTTTTTATATTAGCTACAAACCAATTTCAACCAGAAGTTTTCCCTGAATTTTGGGTATGTATGATTAAGTACAAGCGTGGGCACAGTCAACTGCATTGCAGTTTGAAGAAATGTTCTTCAGCTTATAAATAATCCTTATCGTGTTAAGTCAATAGCTGCTGATCTTCAGCTTCCACTTGTAAAGATTCTGCGAGCTGCTGTGTTAACTCCGTGACATCCTCCTTTGTTGCCTGCAGATCGCCCGCCATTTCAGCTCCTAAATGTTTCTCTTTCCTGCACAGCCTTAGGCACTTATCCAGTCTTTTGATGAATATGTCAACATCTCGCTTTTTAATGCCGATGGCAGAAGCTGCGTTCAGGTACGCACATGGATAGTTATTACTGTGAGACATGAAACCCTTAAACGTGTACCCATTAACAGTCTGTGAAGTACCAGTTGGCACAACCCTGCAACAGGGACAAAAAAAAAAAAAAAAAAAAAAAAAAAACAGAAAATGAAGGCACTTAGAAAAAAACAAAAATAAACTATATACAGAAGCATAATCTATAAGAGGGTAAAGAACTAATAAAAGCTATTGACAGCACCATTTCTGTATTCAAAATCTAAAAATGTTATGACGGAATTGTAAACGAGGTCTTACCCTGAAAAGCCTGGGGCTTGCTGTATACCGCTATATTTCATGCTAAGAGTCCTGGACAAAAACAATTTACTCCAGTGAGAAAAGCTGACATCTGAGCGGCTGCATATGGTTTGTGAAGTATATTTGGCACTAAAGGAAGTGTCCCTGAATACTGACAACTGCATTCCCTAGACCTATTGTCTTCTTGGAGGCCAAGTGTCCTAGGTACTGCAAAAAAATATTCAGGCCATAACTCTAAAATTTTTAGTAAATGTATGTGAAGTTCGATCTCCAAGCATTTCTCTTAGCAGTTCCACTGCCCAGTACAAAATATACATGAAGCAATTTCCCAACTTAAAATGAACTGGAAATCTACTGAAACCAGGTCAGAGCAATTGTTTGGATTGCTCAGCTCTACCCTAAGGCCCCTTTCAATAGGCTGTTTTTTACCTGTCTGTTCCCATTGGCAAACAGCTGAAAAACAGTTTTTTTGTCCGATTCCCTTCAGGTCCTTTTGTAAATGGAACAAGCCTGAATTTTTGTTCAGTTAAAAAACAGAACGGACGAAAAACAGATGTAAATGGACAAACGGTCTCTTTTTGCATTGGTAGTGGATGTGAATAACTGATGTAAAATTGATGTAACGCTGATCTCTTGTTTCTTTGAAAAAACTGAAGAGAAAAATGGAATGCCCTTGCAAAAGAGACCTTAGTCGTGTTTTTGCTAAGAAAAATGGATTTAGTTTCCATCAGTTAACATCCATTTTCAGTTCAGTTACGTTTCGTGTACATCCGTTTTTCATCTGTTTTACATTTTTTGTCCGATTATGTTTTTTTTTTTTTAAACAGAACAAACATGCAAACTTGTTCCATTTAAAAGAAAAATGGACCTGAACGGAAATGGACAACAAACTGATGTTAACAGACAACGTCCATAGGAACATACTGTTATGAATTTTGCGACCATCAACAGATGGATGAAAAATAGACAAAACAAATGACTGCGTGAAAGGGGCCTGAAAGCGGAACTAAACCCATCAATTTAACAGTTTCAAAAAACAGTTCCATTCCAGAAACATGCCAGGAATGTACCCACCACATTTGATTGTGCGCTCAACCAAATTGTTAAACCATCAAATGGCTAATGTCACATCTGATCAACATGTGCAGCATCATGTTAGATGAAGATCAAACAGAGGCAAAGAAGCTTCCTTGGCTGAAAATGATAGGAGGGTTTAGTTCTGCTTTAACACTTGAAAGTAGTTCTTTACTTTGTACTGTAATGATAAACAAGAAGGTGGGTAAGAGAGTGTAATGCCTATGAAATGTGATGGCCTTGGACCCTTTGTTTCTTGGGTAATTTTTACAATAAAGCATCGTTGCCCAGATGCCAGGAGCATGGGAAGTGACTGATGTCATTTCTCTAGGCTAAAGAAACAGAGTCACCATCAAATCACAAGACATTAGACTGCTTATAGCAAGATAAGAACTTGTTTGTGGGATTGAACGTGTTTATGACATCTAGTAATGTCACAATAGAAGATAAGAACCTGTTTAAAGATATCTACTTGCTTGAGAAGTTAAAAATCTTTAAGCTTAGGGTAGATGAGAATAAGTTTAGGGTAGATAAGAAGCTGATCTATAGCAAAAGTGTGACTTTTTAAATAATGATGTTGATTCAATATGGTGGCTGGGCGTGACTCTGTTATCCTCACAGAGCCTTTCTGCTAGCTCCTACTAGAGTGGGTGTGGCACCTGCCCACTTCGGGAAAGGTGCCAGGAAAATGGTTTAAAAGCCAGAAGTTTAAGCGGGATCGATTGGGAGCCTCCTAGTGACAGGGGACGCTCTGATGCTGGGACTCTTGCCAAGGCTATATGGCTTCATCGATTGGTCGCATTTACGGCTTCCCCGTGATCCCCTGTGCAGTATGGTTCCGATGGGATCTGTTCCTTCCCACCTTCACATAGCTTTGGTAATGTATTAATTCTATGCTGTGACGCTGTCAAATAATGTGTCTATTTCATGCTGTAATACTCACATTATTATTGGTGTGTGTTATTATGCAGATTGTGATGACTATAAGATTATATCCTCCTGTGTGTCGTGTGATAATAAAAGTGGAGGTTTTGAAAGTGCAAGAATATTGCAGTTGGATTCTGTTATTTCTTGGAGTGCCGGGTGAATGCGAAGATGTGCCAGGGCAGGTGTTCACTTGGTAGAGGGTCTTTCACATGCGTAGAATATGTAATGGTGTTAAAAGTACCTGTGTGTGACTACCTGTCGATTGTTTGTTTGTAACGGCAAATGCTGGGTGCAATAACTAAAAGCAACTCATATACAGAGAGGTAGATGCTGTACTTTATTTCATTGATAAACATCTTAATGTATTCCAAACATTCAGTATCATGCTTAAAGTGAAGTCAATGTAATGTTAAAAGTGACTAAGGTAACTCTACTGGTTAGGTCCAGGTACCACATATACCTGTTCAAATGTTATCTTTCCGCGTGGCACGCCTGGATTCTGGTCAAGATAGAAAAATGGGAGTGTTGACCGGTTAATGAAGGGCATGCTTCTGGGCTCTTATTTCTGTTCTTCCTTCACAGCTTTGACCTGGAATAAGTATGTCCCCACACTTAAGCTGATGCTGGCTTCTTCTTCCAGGTCAGTAGAGGAAGAAAAAAAAATAGAGGAGACAACCCCAGACCTTGTACCTTCAAAAATGAGCAAGAAGCTCCCATATTTCTCCCCGGAAAGGCTCCCTTTACCATTATCATGCCATAAGACAGGGTCACTTATATAAAATACCCAGGTCTTAAATGGTCAGACTCTATACTTACCTTTCCAAAGCCTGTATCTTGAAATGCCACCTCTTTGCTGCTGGCTGCGGCATATATTCCACATTTTGGTTGTGTAGAATACTTGTTCCTCGACTGCTAACTGTGGTTCCTCCGGTGGGCTCATACATCAATACAAGACTTTGGGCCAGTGGATGAAACCACAGCATGAAGCAGGGGAAAAAGGTGTTCTACAAATCTGAGAGGGCTGAATACCCGCTGCGGCAAGGGACAGCGAAGAGGCTGCGTTTCAACACACAGGCCTGCTAGTATAAAGCCTATTTTTTTTTTTTTACAACTTGACCACTGTGTAAGGATGAACCCCTTTAATTAGAAAAAAAACAGTACCTATTGCCAATTGACTTTATAGCTGGCCAACGCAATATATTCTCTCATAAAGGAATCAAGTGCTCAGAGAAGTATGGATAATGCCACTACTGACCTCTCTTCCTCAAAATGTTAGTTGCCTGGTTGTCATGTTGATCTAGTTACCTCAAAACTGAGTGACAAGCAATTAATCAGCAGCAAGAAAATTTAGATTTCCCAACATGCATTCTTGTTCTAGACCAAGGACTCACAAAGCATTGAAGCCACTGGATTAGCATGACAATGATGTAGCAAGCATTTTCAAAAGCAGGTCAGGAACAGGCTTGTTTATACTTCCACTGTGTAAGGCTACGTTCACACTAGCCTTGTGTGCAGGCGGCAGAGAGGCGTTTGGGAAGTGTTTTTACCGCTTCCCAAACGCCTCTGCCAATTCTGCACATTACAGCACATGGTGCTGTTCTAACGGGAGCGTTTGCGTCGCGTCGCGGCAAAATGGACGCCTCTGGACGAGTCAGGAGGCTTTGAAGCCTCCTATTCTCGTCTATGGTGCCGCTCCGCAAACGCCGGCCGGTTTGCGACGCGGTTGCGGGGCGTTTGCGGAGCGGTAACACCACTCAAACTGCATTATAGGCGTTTGTGGGGCGTTATTAACGCTCGGCAAACGCCTAGCAACCGCCGCTAAACCGCGCATGCGGCGTTTGCGGAGCGTTTGCCGAGCGTTAAAAAAACGCTCCGCAAACGCCGGACCAACGCTTGCCAAACGCTATAGGGGCGTTTGGCAAGCGTTGGCAAAACAGCCTAGTGTGAACGAGCCCTAAATGTCACTTTTAATTGTCTTGAAGATTACTTCCATATGACCAGATTTCTGCTCATGGTACAAAAGATATGCTATCATGTTGTGTGTGTTTGAGATATTTCTCATCAGAAGGACCTAACAAAGATGCACTGTTTAAATGACCACACGAACCTCCCATGTCCTGGATCTGTTTACCAGCATTGAGTAGGAAGTGTGTCAGCTGCTGAGCATCCCAGCATTACGGAGACATTATCACCTCAGCTGAATCTGATCTGCCAGACTGCTGTACGAAGAGATGGCCAATGTGTGGATACAGCAGTTTTCTCTGGAGCAGGGAAACTCAGAACAATTCAGTGTAATGAAGCGTTTCACCCTGAAGTGCAAATGTTTCTCAAGGCCATTGGAGACCAGAAAATCATTCAGACTTGCAAATCACACTGGAGCCAAAAACAATGTACCTAGATTATATTGAAATGTCAGTTACCATTTAAAGGAAAAAACAAACAAAAAAACCCCACAAACATCTGACAGTACAGACGTACAGGCATTACACACCTGTAAGGTATAAAAAAAAAAAAAAAACAAAACTACAATAGTTTTATACTAGCTGGAATTGTACGTGCTAAACTCAAAATAAGATCATCCCAAGGCTTTGAGGCTCCATTCGAAAATACATGTGTTTGCCTCAGCTAGGAAGAGCCCATGCAGATCAATCCCCAGGTTGCAACAATGATGTCAGATGATCTGGATATCTGTTTTCAATGACATGCATCAAATGCTTACATAAGTGAATGCAATGTTGTGCGAATTTTTAGCGATCACAAACATGAAAGACAATCTAACCTTAATGTTACACCAACGATTTATGTAAATTATTTCCCCCTCAGAGTGCATCACACTGAATTGCTCAGAGTAAGGTGTTGTAAATTTGAGCTTGAGCTAAAGCTCTGTAAATAGGCTTTTTCAGCAAAAGCAACAGCCTCATATTTACAGAACTAAATATTTTTGGACAATTTTTTTTTATGACCATGATAAAGAAAATATATAAAAATGATAAAAGATATGTGTTTCCTTTAAAATGATTGTCACTCAAGCAATTGAAAAAAAAAGCCACCCAGAAAAGGAGAATAATCATACTTACCTGTCCCAGAGCTACACTGGCTGAAGAATCTTCAATACTTCCTGGTGTGTCAAATACCTGCATCCCCTGCTGCAGCTTTGCAGGAAGACACTAGTGACATAGTGGGTGGAAGCACAGCACTACAGCAGGAGACGCTGAAGATTCTTCACCCAGTATACTAGACAATGAGAGGAAAGATTGGAGGCACGGATGGTGGGATGTGTACTATTACTGCTCTTTTACAGGCTGCCATTTTTTTAAATCTTTTATTTTTGGCTAATCAAATATCGCTGTAAGGACTCCACTAGAACATTTCTGTCACATGTTAAGTTATTATTGCTGCTATATTATTTCTTAGACTTGTTTTCTTGCTTAGAAGTAGGTTTGTGATTATTGCCATGCTGAAAACATTGTGTGAACTTTAAGTACCAGTGCCATGTATAAAAATGGGTGAAGATAGATAGATAGATAGATAGATAGATAGATAGATAGATAGATAGATCTTACTATCTAATAGCAGTTTTCAGCCACTGATCTACAAATTCTCAGTCACGCTGTTCATCATTATGCTGATAATCTCTGGAAGGTTTTGCCCTCTTCATAATCAGGGCATTTTTGCTATTCAAACACTGCTATTTTAAAGAGGAGCTTCAGTCATTTTTGTGTTTATTGAAAGTCAGCAGCTACAATAACTGTACCTGCTGACTTTTAATAAACACACACTCACCTGTCCCAGGATCCAATGATGTTCTCACCTATGCCATTCCTTCCCTTGGTCTTCTGTCCCTGGCGCCAGCATCTCAACTGTGGGCACCAGGCTGTGACAGCTTCACAGCCACGTGCCCACTGCACATGCGCGAGCCATGCTGTGCATTGTGAATGGTCTTACAGTCTACTGGGACATGTGGCGTGTCCCAGAAGACTGCAAGGAGCGAAGGGGAGAGGAAAAACTTTTGTCAAAACCAGGTACCACTCCACTCCCACCACCAAAAAAGTGCCATGAAGGGGGGATGGGCATAAAGCAGAATTTACCCTTTTGAGTGGAGCTCTGCTTTAACTGCCAATTGCTTGGTTATTCAACACTGTACCCAAATGAAATTTATATTCTTTTTTTTTCACAGAAATAACTTTCTTTTGGTATTTATTCACCACTGGGTTTTTTATTTTTTGCTATACAAACAAAAAAAAACAAAAAAAAAAAAAGTTTCTTAGTTTTTGTTATAAAATTTTGCAAACTAATAATCTTTCTTCATAAAATAAGGCTATAATGTATTCCGTTACACTTCGTTGGTAAACCCCCCAAATCAATCTATATTATTTAGTCTGTGTGAAAGTTATATAGTGTGTGTCGCTGTGTGGGGTGGACACAATGGTCACGGTATCAAGGGGAGCGTGCTAGTGCACAGTTCCACAATTACGCACAGGTACGTCGCTGTGTGGGGTGGACACAATGGTCACGGTATCGAGGGGAGCGTGCTAGTGCACAGTTCCACAATTACGCACAGGTACGTCGCTGTGTGGGGTGGACACAATGGTCACGGTATCGAGGGGGGCGTGCTAGTGCACAGTTCCACAATTACGCACAGGTATGCCGCTGTGTCTGTACATGCTGCCTGCAGAAAAAGTACTGTGGGGGGACAGCAAGTGGTTAAGGAGACAATTAGACATAGATGTATTTTTAGGAGTTTATCTGCAAACAAATGGGCTATTGTGGCCATGTTATTCTAGGAAAAAAAGCACATTAAAAAAGTATACATCTATTAAAAAAACTTACTGTGTAAATAGAACATCATAGAACAAACGTTTGTTAGAGGCCACTTACCTTGCCCCAGACACCTGTCTTGTGAAAAGCATAGATCCCAACTGAGTAATGGCTGTCCCGCCCTCATAATTCAGATTCTTCAGAGACATAGCTGATTGCCGCACATATAAAGACAGTAAAATAAAAATGTAAGGATTTATATATATATATAGCTTATGCTACCTGGGTTTTTCTTCCCCACAGGTGTTACTAGATCCTATGTTACTAATTATATAGAATAATCCAGTTTTAGCTTTTGGAAATCCATCACACTTAAAGCAGGAGGAGTTGGAGAGACAAAAAAAAAAAAAAAAAAAAAAAAATCTAGGATTGAGGTAATCAAAGCTATTTGAATGACCTCCACAGGTTCTTCTTCTCCCAAACAACTATGTTACAAACTTTATTCTGAATCATATTATTCCATTAAATTTAAAGTATAACTAAAGATAAAACTGTTCTCAGCAAAAATGAAAGTAAAAGAAAATCAACATTTTTGGTTTGTCCCCAGACTGTGAATAGATGGGAAATCTGGTGACACTAGTTCTGGTGACAACCAGGGATTCCTTCTCACTGTTTTGGCTATGGGACAGGAAGTGAAGAGAATTCTCCCCAATGGGACATAGATGGCAAAAAAAAAAAATCTTACAGAGTTATTACCCTCCCTTACTTTATCCAAACTGAAACAAAAATTGTTGCCTTTAGTTCTACTTTAAAGAGCATATAAATCCAACATTTCATATTCCTGATATGTGATTGCTGTACCATGTACTTTTTGACTTTTTCTCTAAACTCCCTTTATAAGCATAGAATAGCTTAGGTAACAATTCAGCAGAGAGTGAAGGCTTACACAACATGTCCCATACATCTCAAAAAGAATTCTGTACCATGTACTTGTAGGAAAACGTATCCTGTTCTCTTTGTATTGCTTCCTGTGTGTGAAATCCCCGATGTTCCTGCCAGTCTCTCCGCTTTCCTATTAAAAACTGACCGCACTAAGCATGAGACCACACAATGGTCAGTTCTATAGGTATGCTCAGATCTCAGCCCGCTCTCCTCCAATGATCAGACTGGTCCTGACACCCCCCTCCCCCACAGCCATTCACTGGGAAGATCAGTGCACTGCTGTATCTGTTTAGAGGAATAAACTGTAATACTTCCCTTATTCCTTGCTCCGACAGGCACTCTCATTCTGTGTGACAGGTCCCCAAAGCCTCTTCCCTTCGGCACTTCAGCCAGCAGTCCTGCACTGTATGTGAGGATGGCAAGGGCCCGCTCACAACCCAGATCAGAGCATTGAAGAGAAAAGGAAAGTGTCAGCTTCCCGGAGAGCAAGGAATACGGTATTAAAGCTTATTCTGCTAATATCCATACTTAACCCTTGAAATGAAGGAGGACCGCACTGAAAATGTATTTTTTTTTTTACTGTTCAGCTTTAATTTGTATTTGAATACTTTCATCTTATTAATACTAAAAAAAAGTCTAACAATGCACAGTGGGTTATCAAAGACCATTTGTACTCAGCTCTCAGTCTGGACATAATGGCAAGTGCAATCAATAGACCCATTTTACATGGAGCTGTGTAAATGCTTTGTACTGGTAAAAGACATTCATTGTAGGCAGACATAAAGAACACAGAATTTATTTTATTTTTTTTTTCTTCTGAAAACCCAACTTCACTTCACTTGAAAATAAATATTGTCCAAGGGTTTTTTCAAAATAGGATTTCATAAAATCAGCTCTGGCTAAAATACTCACCTTTCGGTGCCGTTTTTCCATAGACGTACCACTCTGTCAAGTGCGGTTGGCCCTCCTCCGGGTGGACTGACACCCAGCATCTTTTATCCCACTTCTTGTGAGCTCAGGATGTCAAGCACCTGTCCCCTAAGTGGAAGTGTTCCCTGCAGGATTCAGGACCTGCCTACTGACCAGGGGAAGATGAGATATATGTCATGTCACCAGATCAGATAAATGAAATGGTACATATACCAAAAAAGTATTTTGTTATTTTAGCCAAAATGGGGTTAGCGGTGGAGGGGTTGGTCAGAGGAGTTTCCAACCTGGAGTAGGGCTTTTAAATTTTGATGGTAAATTCACATAAAAATTATCTAGGTTTTGGGTGGATGCTTGCAATTTGAAGCCCAGTGGCTTGTTTCCCAGGTTCAAACTTCAAACCCAAGAATTGTTAAAATGCAAATTTAAACACCATATACACCTCAACACTAAGCTGTTAATCAGAAAAAACAACAAAACAAGCTGCTGCACCAAACCGTGTCTGAATACGAGACTGCAAAAAACTTTTATAAACAACCGGTGCACATGCCCCTTTATTATTATTTATTACAGGTACTTGTACAGCGCCATCAATTTACACCATGCTTTACATATATATTGTACATTCACATCAGTCCCTAACCCTCAAGAGGCATACAATCTAAAATCCCTAACTTACATTCATACATACACATACTAGGGACAATTTAGACAGGATCCAATTAACCTACCAGCATGTCTTTGGAGTGTGGGAGGAAACTGGAGTACCCGGAGGAAACCCACACAGACACAGGGAGAGCATGCAAACTCCAGGCAGGTGGGCCATGGTTGGGATTCAAACCAACGACCCTAGTACTACCAGGCAGAAGTGCTAACCATTTAGCCACTGCGCTGCCCACTTTAAATAAAATCAATTCATCAAAAATATTCAATTGAGGTGCCTATACCAAAATGTGTGCCTAAAGATCCATCCAAAATAAATAAATAAAAATATATATTATATAAAAATCATAAAGAAAAAAAAAAAAAATCAGCAATTCATACTCTTACTAAAACAAATGATCTCAAACAAAAGGAGATCTCAAAGCGCTTTAGCTGTCATACAGCAAGTGTTTTCTTATGGCTTGCTCCGGACGTCGATCACACCAACATCACCGAGAACACCGCTGACCAATCAACCCATTATTAGCTCAACTTACCCAGTGAAATTGGATTGTGTGGCGTCTCTAGTAAGTGCTCATTGTGCTTTGCTGCAAGTGCCTTCAATTCACTGGACAGATATGTAAACATTTCCTACAAGAAAAAAAGCTTTTTTTATCATAGTGAACACAGAACACAGTCTCACTCATGAAAGAGCTAAATAAATTAGCAAAAGATCCAATGACTGAAAACTCATTTACTCCATGTATACCTATACACAGTAAGGGTCCATGCACACCATACAAAAAAAAAAAAAGAAAAAAAGAAAAAGGCAGTTCCCTATACAGATAAAAAAAGCTTGTAGCACATGCATTTAGGTACATTCAGCATTTTTGTTCTGCCAGAAAACTCCCAAAAAATGAAATCCAGAAAGGTTTTTTTTCTGTCTCTAAAATGCTGAGCTTTAACTATGCCTCAGGTTCCGGTGCCGTATGGAGAGGAGGTGAGCTGTCCCTGCTCCCACTGCCCTCCTCCGCTGCTACAGTATTAAGCCTGCGATAACTCAGGGGCTGACCCCCCCCCCCTTCCCACAAATGGCATAAGGGGACCTCATGGACTGCTTTGCTGAGCGATCCCAAGACGCTCCTCTACAGTCCCCCGCCTGTCACAGGCGGGCGCTCCTAACTCACATGCTGACACATGCAGAATACAAGGAAGCCACAGCCCCCTGCTTTCCAGCCTCCTGACCCTGCCTCACCAGAGGGCATTGCCCATGCAGTCATGGCTCTCCTAACACCTACTCTCACGGCAGCGGTCGATAGTGCTATTCGTAAAGGGCTAAAACAGCTTCATAAAGATCTCCGTGTCCAGGCTCAGCACATTACTCAGGTGGAAGATAGGATCTCCTCCATTGAAGATGGCTCATTGGCTGTTTCTGCCAATGTAGTCAGACTCACTGCAGTCCAAAGAGATCTTCAAGATAAGGAAGAACATCTTGAAACCCGCTCACGGCGGAACAATCTGCGCATCATAGGTCTGGCTGAAACGTATTCTCCCTCCATGCTGATCAACGTTTGTGCTACGTCCATTCTGGAGTAACTAGGCCTGCGGTATCCTTGTGTAGTTGAAAGGGCCCACCGTATTAGCCCACTGTCTGCTTATCGTCCTAAACCTAGGTCGGTGATTGTACGCTACCTGAACTACGAGTATAAACAGGCCATCCTTCAGAAATTTCAACACATGCATGCTTTATCTGTAGACGGGCACCAACTGCTCGTTTGCGGACTACTCGATGGAGGTTATGTGCCAATGCAAGGCCTTCTCTGCGATTTGCTCCACTCTCTATCACAAGCAGGTTAAATTCACTCTGGAATATCCTACTATCCTCCATATTCAACCAGCAGATGGAGATAGGCAATCTTTCACCTCGTCATCAGAAGCAGAGCATTATCTCAATAACATCCCGGAAGCAGCCATGGATCAAAGTCCTTCTTCTGCACAGTCTTCCTCCTCCCCCCAAAGGGGAAATTCCGCACCCTTCCAGAACCAGTCAAGTCCTCAAAAACCACCTCATAAATGGGTCCGCTTTGGTCAGACCGAAGACTGCTGTTACCCGCTGGTTTTCCTTGTTTTTCTATCCCCTTAGGTAGACGAAGAGGGTTCTCAGGTTTTTTTCCCCCTTTTGCTCCTCCTCCTCCCAGCCCTACCCCCCTCCCTCCTCTCACCCACCCCACCCCCCCCCCCATTGTTTTCTAGTACCATGGCGGAGTGTTAAGTGCGGGAGCTTTGTTAGGATGTTCTATGCAGAAAAAAAAGTGAAGTTCTTGGTTTGTTCCTGGTTTACCTGGGAAGACTCTCCATATTTATTCACAAAGTTCAGCTTTTATTGTTTTGCCTTGTTGACTTTCACTGTTGCATTTCCCTAGGAACGGTTTATTGTCCTGATCAACCTGGACTCACTGGGGTGATGCCTGGCGTGGTTCTGCCTTATCAAGGGCCTTATCCTATTTCCATACTGTGACAGACATGGCTCCATCTGATGACAGGGATCACCTGAAGGTAATCTCATGGAATATTAAGGGGCTACGCTCACCAAACAAGCGTATGCAAGTCCTACGCCATTTAAAACATTTGGGGGCAGATGTGGCTCTTTTGCAGGAGACACATCTCTCCGCAAGCGATCTTTCCAGTCTTTCGAGACTTTGGGCTGGCCAGGTGTATAGTTCTCCGGCCTTGGGTCGTAAGGCAGGGGTCGCTATACTGTTCCATAAAAATTTATGTTACACTGTTTCGCTCTATCAATTCTGATTCTGAGGGTCGCAAACTTACTGTCCATATTACTATTGCCTCTTGTGACATTGCTATCTCCAATCTATATGCCCCCAATTCTCCATGGCAAAACTTTTACCAGGGTTTGATTCTATAGGCCTTACAAATTCCGGAATCCTATCATAACCTGGGTGGGGACTTCAACACAGTCATGCACAGCAATATTGATCGAACAAGGGACTGTTCCACACAACAGCCCAGACAACTGCCTCAGCCTCTCCCCTCCACTGCTTTAGCACAATCTATCAATATGCTTAACCTTCATGACGTATGGTGCCTTCAACACCCGACGGATCGGGACTATACGTTCTATTCATCCCCATATGACTCCTTTTCTCGCATCGACTACTTTTTTCTGCTCACAGTCTCTCTTGCCCCTGCTATGCAAAAGGACAATTTTTGATATGGCCATCTCTGACCATTGTCCCATTCTTCTACAGCTGTCTGAGTTGAACACTCCAAAACCCCTTAGCCTTTGGCGCTTCCCCGATTACTTAGCCAATAATGAAGACTTCAAATCTCATCTTTATGCGGCCATGGCAGGGATTTGCAGACACGAATGGAGAGCATATGACCAATCCTAACCTGTTTTGGGAAACTGGAAAGGCGTTTCTTAGAGGGCGCATAATCTCTTATACCATGCAATTTAAAATACGATCCCAATTACTTTACGAACAAGCTAGCGAATCTCTTCGTCAGGCACATATTGTGCTCTCCCTCAACCGCACCCACATGAACAAGCTGAATTGGCAATCTGCCAAATGAGCCTTTAATTATTGGGCTGAATACCAGGAAGCAGCCAAATCGGCCTTTCCACCTTGAAATTTTATAGATATGGCAATAAGGCGGGAAAGCTGTTAGCACGACTTAGTGCGGGCCCTCGTACTCCGACTCATATCTCTGCACTCTGGTCTCCCACGGGAAATATCCTAACGCTGTCCTCTGATATCAATGACCTTCTCACGTCCTATTACACTCCCCTGTATACCGAAGACCCAATCAACTCTAAAGCTGCTAAGGACTTTCTAGCCTCTATAAATCTGCCTAAGCGCTCCGGATCCCAGCTAAGCACCTCAAATGCTCCCATTACACTAGACAATATTCGTGCCACTATTAAACACCTACCCTCGGGTAAAGCTTCTGGACTTGACGGTCTTAGCACAGAATTCTATAAGTTGATTTCGGAATTCATCCCAGACTCTGTATCGTGTTTATAAGGCAATGTGGGAGGATGGCCCATATCTCCCGACTGGCTCCGAGGCACATATTAAGCTCATAGCCAAGAAGGGGAAAGACCCATTGCTTCCAGGATCCTACCGACCTCTCTTTAATGTAGACGCCAAAACTACTTCAAAAATCATGGCGTCCAAATTGGCCCTATTGCTTCCTAACATATTACATCCAGCCCAATCTGGGTTTGTGCCTGGTTGCTCGGCAACGCTCAACATTCGCAAAAGTACTGTTAGCCCTGGAACATGCTATAGCCCACCCACAGATTGATGTACCACTTATATCTTTAGATGCTGAAAAAGCTTTCGACAACAAAGCTTTAACTGGCTCTTCATGGTTATGAAGAGGCTTGGTATTTCAGGCCCTATCTTGGACTTATGACACATGTACTCTTCGCCTACTGCTAGATTAGTCACACCTGATTTTATTTCCTCTGACATTTCCTTAGCCAAGGGCACCAGGCAGGGTTGCCAGCTCTCCCCCCTCCTCTTCAACATCGCCCTTGAACCTTTGTCCAGATTACTTAATTCGACGTCAGGGGTCAGTGGTGTAACAATTGGCGATACTCTCTGCTGATCTCTCTTTGCGGACAATATATTGCTGTTCTCCTCAGATTGACCCAAGGATTTCACACTACTTCAGGATTTGTTTGTGACCTTCCGCAAATGCTCCGGCCTAAGAATTCCTTTTGACACCATTACATATTTGGGCATTCACATAGGCAGAGAACCATTATCTCTTTACTACCTAAACTACCCTCCTCTAACAGGATTGTACAGGAACTGGAGGCTTGGATGACCCTTCCCCTTTCATTCTTTGGGAGATGTCATCTTTAGAAAATGGTTTCATTTGCGAGATTGCTCTATCCTTTACGAACACTCCCTATTATGTTAAAACATTCCGATGTTCAGAAGATTCATAAGGCTTTACAGGCCTTTTTATGGCAGCGCAAACAAACACGAATTGCACTACAAAAGCTAAGTATCCCAAAGAGTGAGGGGGGTGCAGGCCTGCCAAATATTAGATTTTACAACCCATCCTGCCTTCTTCGTCACAGTCTTGATTGGATTACTGGGATATCACGTTACTCGAATTACTCCTTGGAGGAGGCCCTGGTGTCTCCGCTACACCTTCCAGCCATTCTGCATTCTAACCTTAAGGCCCTACCTGGATCTCTCCGATCGAATCTCCTGATCAGAGACACAGTATTAGCCTGGAGGGAAATGAGGAGACTTCTTGGACTACCACTGTGGATATCATCCCACCTACCTATTCTTGGAAACCCTATGTTCCCTCCAGCAAGTGAACATGCAGAGTCAAAGTCCTCACCTAAATCCAGTTGAGAATCTGTAGCAAGGACTTGAAAATTGCTGTTCACAGATACTCTCCATCCAATCTGACAGAGCTTGAGCTTTTTTTTGCAAAGAAGAATGGGCAAAAATTTCACTCGCTAGATGTACAAAGCTGGTAGAAAGGCATACCCAAAAAGACTTGCAGATGTATTTGCAGTGAAAGCTGGTTCTACTAAGTATTGACTCAAGGGAGCTGAATATAAATGCACACCGCACACCACACTTTTCAGATATTTGTAAAAC